GGAGAAGACTATGACAAAGCCAATAGAGGAGAAGGTTATTATGAAAAACAAAGGATGAGAAAGGACATCAAAGAGCTGTAAACCAAGTTGGATAAGGTACTGGTGGCTACTCAGAAGCCAATGCATTTTTTGGAGAGTTTGATGAACAAAATACTTGCTTAAATAATGTGATTGAGGAGAGATTAACACAAGAGGAGATGCATCACATTGGGAATCAAAACAAGTTCCAGAGGTGATATAAGATCGGGTTGGTAGTGAGGATAGATTCCAAGTGATTGGCTGAGAGGCTCTCTTCACTTAGAGAAGCTATGACCGAGTATGGAGAGATGGAACCTAAGTAACTGGCCGAGAGACTCTCTTTACTTAGATTGGTGAATGAATGCAGAACAAAGGGCTAAGGGGGATCAATGTGACGTCACACAGCTGATGGAGAGGCTGTGATAAGTCGGTGAACTCAAGAACAAAGGGGAAACCACAAGAATGTTGAAGAACTCGGGAAGAGCGGCTACTCTTAAGAAAATACGTTCTTTTATTGATTAGGGTAAAAGTTGTCTCATACAATGCCGCATGTGGGACTTTATAAACAGTCCTTTGGTGTTGACCTTCTAGGGTCGACTCTAGACTCAAAAAAGGAAAGAACTTGCGACATACTCTCTTAAAATGTAAATAAAAAGAAAAGGAAACAATCTAGATTTTCTGACTCGATTTAAAAGACAAAATAACTAAAGGACTTATAACAAAACCTGCAAAACAAAGAAGAGGGAAACTCGTGAGTTTTAAAAATAAATGAAATACTCACCTTTGTGCCGTTTTGACACTTAGTCGTTTGCAACTTCAATGGTGAAGATCATGCGAGTTCCTTGAGTCCTTAGTAGTGGCCATTCTAGTGTTGGTGTGGACTTGATGCTTGTGCCGTCCTGATCTTCATACTCTAGTCCTCTTCTTGAACAAGTAGTATATTCTCTTCGGTTAAACCCATTGCAGCTTGATTGAGAAGTGCCTGGTCGATGCTGAGTTGATCAATGCCTTTGGTGATGTCTTCTAAGCTGCTTTGATTGATCAAGATGTCCATAGGATTTTTGAATTCCTCTCTCAGCTTCCTTAGTCCTGATCTTGCCCTTGGAGGGTTCTTTATGGTTAGAAAAGTATCTTTAGGGGCCATGTCCTCATCATTCCCTCCTCTTGAGAAAGTTCTGGCCTCAGAACTGTTTCACTTGCATGAAGAATCAGCAACATTGAAACTCGGTGAAATGTGTAATTCACCTGGCAGGTCTACCTTGTAGGCATTATTGTTGATCCGGTCTAAAACTTTGAATGGTCCATTGCCGCGAGGTGAGAGCTTTGATCTCCTCTGGTTTGGGAACCTCTCCGGTCTCATATGAATCCAGACCCAATCTCCTGGCTCGAAAATTAGCTCCTTGCGGTTCTTGTCAGGTTGTTGCTTGTATTAGGCTGTCTTCTTTTCCAAGTTATCCTTGGTCTTTTGATGGAGCTTCTTAATGATCTCGGCTTTGTTGTCTCCATCTTGGTTTGTGAATTCTAGTGGTGGTAATGGCTTTAGATCAAGAGGCGTTTCTGGCTTAAATCCATACACAATCTCATAAGGTGAAAGCTTAGTTCCCGAGTGGGTGGCATGGTTATAAGTAAACTCAACATAAAAAATGCAATCTAGCCAATATTTTAAATTGTTACCAACTGTGGCCCTTAAGAGGGTGGACAAGGTGCGGTTCACCACTTCAGTTTGTCCGTCGGTCTGAGGATGACAAGTGGTAGAGAAGAGCAATTTGGTTCCTCCACAAGATCCTCCAGAAAGGACTAAAAAACTTGGTGTCTCGGTCTGACACAATAGTGCGAGGTAAACCATGTAGGCATACCACTTCCTTGAAGAATAGGTCAGCAGTTGTGAGGCATCATTTGTTTTGGTACAGGGACTGAAGTGTGCCATCTTTGAGAATCGATCCACCACCACAAATATTGAATCCCTGTTTCTTATCTTTAGCAATCCTAGAACAAAGTCCATAGATATACTTTCAAAACCAGTGCATGGGTTAAACGGTCTTTGAGAGTTTGAAATACTTTCTCCTGTGCTGGTCCCCATGAGAACGCCACATCTTTCTTAATAACAGCTGCGAGAGGAGCAGCCAAAGTGCTGAAATTCTGGACAAACCATCGGTAAAAGCTTGCTAGTCCATGGTATCTCCTCGGTTTCAGCTAGTTCAAGTCGGTTTCTGAGCTTCTAAAAACTCTTCAAAGTATTCCTCAACAGACCTGTTTCTCTGCACCAACATTTGAAACTTCTTTTGTAAATCCCTATGCAAATGTGGTGGCACATACCTCTTTCTCAAGTAGAATTTCATGCGTCCCGACTAGGGATCTGTTCATAACGGTGCCTCCATCTTTCAGCCACGTCTCAATCCCACCAAGACAGTGTGTGGTCAGTTAGTTGAGCCACGGACAAGGATACCTTCTTCTTGTCATTGTAAGAATAATAGTCTAAGATATGTTCCATTCTTTGCTCCCACTCCAAGTAAGCTTCAGGGTTTACTCTGCCAGCAAAAGTAGATGCAGTTAGTTTGATGTCGTTATGATTTTGTCTACTACCTTCATCATCTCGGTTGCGGCCTCGGTTGAAGATCTTTTCTTCTCTAATGCGTCCTCGGTGGATGGAGTCTCTCATTCGGTGATTTTGTTGTAAATCAGGAGGGTCTCCTTGTCTCCAATGGTTTGGTGCATCATCTTCTAATCTGGGTATCTCGTCATCATCGGCCTGGACATTCTGCCTTTATTGCACGGGTATGGGTCGTGCAGCTTCTCTTCTTGGCACTTCTAGTCGGCCAACTCTCTCCTCTATACAGCCTAGTTGTGTGGCCATATCTTGCCTCATTGTGGCAATAGCTTGCAATATGGTATCTTGTGGTGCGATGGGAGGGATTTCCATTGCTGAAATTATTCAAAGACAACAAAGAATCTCAAACGCAACTGTGTTTTAATGATCTAAAGAACCTAATCTAGATGCAAAATACTTACGAGAATAAACTTTTTTTTAGGGTTTTTGTTTTCTTGTGACTTGACTAAACGATATGAGGATGAACCATCTAGATTCATAATGAAAGTTTTCTGGCTTTTTTGAATGATATGAATGAACAAACTTAGATGAGATGATTCTTCTTTTTTTTGGACAGATTAAAACTAAGCAACAATAATAAGAATGAAAACTAAACAATAAGGAATCGAAAAAGGATAGATATCACCTGATGTTAGAACCTGGCTCTGATACCAAACTGATATAAGATCTGGTGGTAGTGAGGTTAGAGTCCAAGTGATTAGCCGAGAGGCTCTCTTCACTTAGAGAAGATATGACCGAGTATGGAGAGATGGAACCTAAGTAACTGGCTGAGAGGCTCTCTTTACTTAGATTGGTGAATGAATGAAGAACAAAAAACTAAGGGGGATCGATGTGACGCCACACAGCTGATGGAGAGGTTGTGATAAGTCGGTAAACTCATGAACAAAGGGGAAACCACACGAATGTTCAAGAACTCGTGAAGAGGCGGCTGCTCTTAAGAAAATACATTCTTTTATTTATTAGGGTAAAATCTGCCTCATACAATGCCACATGTGGGACTTTATAAACAGTCATTCAACCTTGACCTTCTAGGGTTGACTCTAGACTCAAAAAAAGGAAAGAACTCGCGACAGACTCTCTTAAAATGTAAATAAAAGAAAAGGAAATAATCTAAAGTTTCTGACTCGATTTTAAAGACAAAAATAACTAAAGGACTTAAAAACAAAACCGACAAAACAATTAAGAGGGAAACTCGTGAGTTTTAAAAAATAAATGAAACACTCATCTTCGTGCCGTTTTGACACTTAGTCATTTGCAGCTTCAGTGGTGAAGATCATGCGAGTTCCTTGAGTCCTTAGTAGTGGCCATTCATTCTAGTGTTGGCATGGAATTGATGCTTGTGTCGTCCTGATCTTCTTTCTCTAGTCCTTCCTCAAGCTGATCCTCTTCTTGAACAAGTATAATCTTCTCTTTGGTTAAACCATTGCAACTTGATTGAGAAGTGGCTGGTCAATGCAGAGTTGATCAATGCCTTTGGTGATGTATTCTAAGCTGCTTTGATTGATCAAGGTGTCCATAGCATTGTTGAATTCCTCTCTCAGCTTCTTTAGTCCTGATCTTGTCCTTTGAGGGCTCTTCATGGTTCTTTAGGGGCCATGTCCTCATCAAGATCTATAACAACTTCAACAACCCAAACTTGTCATACAGAAACCCAAATGTAGCTAATCCATGAGATCAGGTCTATATCTCTCGACAAGCTCAGCAAAGCTATGTTCCCAAGAATCAGTTTCATGGGAACTTTCAGAGCACGCAGCAATATCTTCAGTGACCTCAGCAATATGTTCAGAAACCTCAGAAGAATCAAGGAGGTAACTTCACTAGATAGCCGCCTATGAACAAGTTTCCACCTGGTTTTGGACAGCAGCAGCAGGGTCAGTCGATGGGTTCAGATTTAAGTGGGGTTCTACAGCAGATACTTCAGGGTCAGCAAAGAGTTGAGAACATTTTTACTGATCTGAGTTCAAAGTATGAAGCTATGCAACATCAGCTGAAAGATCTTTAAAAGAATCAAGCTTTCTCTTCATCTAGACAACAAGGAACACTTCCTGGGAAGCCTGAGTTAAACCCTAAGGAATATGCCAATGCCATTACATTCAAAAGTGGTAAGGAACTACCTGATAGAAAACAACAACCTGTGCTCATTGAGGACAATGAGCAACTTGGTGGGGAGGTGAATCAAGGGAGTGTACTAGATAATGAAGCTGTAAAGAATGACAAGGGCAAAGGTGTGGCAAAAGAGATGGTGCCTGAGAAACCATATGTGCCACCACCACCTTATCACCCAAAACTTCCATTTCTAGGTAGGTTCAAGAAGCAACTCTTGGAGAAGGCTAGAGCTGTTTTTGAGAAGCAATTTTAGAAAATTCAGTTCACCATGCCTATCATAGAAGTTTTCCTTATGGTTCCTCAACTTGGAAAGTTCTTAAAGGATGCTATTTTGAACAAGTCAAGAGAACTACAAGGGATGGTAGTCTTGAGCCATGAGTGTAGAACAATAATTCAGACATGGACTATCTCTAGGAAGCTATCTGATCTAGAGAGCTTTACATTGCGCTGCACTATTGGTCCTATTAAGTTTTCCAGCTACCTATGTGAACTTGGAGCATCAGTAAGTTTAATGTCTTTTTCAATGGCATAGAAGTTGGTGTTCACAGTCTACAAGCCAACAAAGATATCTTTGGTACTTGCTGATAGATCAGTTAAGCTCCCCATTGGACTCCTTGAAGATATACCAGTTAAGATAGGAGACTTTGAAGTCTTAACTGACTTCATTGTCTTGGAGATGGATGAAGAGCTGTAGATCCTCTCATTTTTGGGAGATCTTTAATTGCTACAGCAGGAGATATAATTGATGTGAGAGGAGGAAAGATAGATCTTCACCTAGGATCTAAAGTCCTCAAGTTTGATGTCAATTAAGCCATGAAGAAACCTACCATTGAGGGTCATGTATTTTATATAGAAGCCATGAAAGAGCTTGCTGATGAGCTTCTTGAAGATTTGAACACTGAAGATCACCTTCAAATTGTCTTGACTAAGAACATGGTGAGTATGAGTACTTGAAGGATGAGACCCTTGGGTTTATGAAGCTTCTTGATTCTCACAATCCAGTAGGATCAGAGACTAAACTTTTGGATCTGGATACAAGCGGCCAAGTGGATCAGAGTATCAGTGGGTTCAGTAAAAATCAAGGGCCGGTTCAAGAGTACTGCATGGCCGTGGGTGGTTTGAAAGCTGAGGAAGAGGTTAAACTGGCTGAGGACACCAATAGCAATGAAGCTTAGGATAATCAAGAGAGCTTCATGGGAGATTGGTATGAACACAAAGCTCCATCTGTTGAGCGAAAGCCACACCCAAAGGGGCTCAGGTATGCTTTTCTTAGACTTGATGCATCATATCTTGTCATCAGCAATGATAGGTTGTTACATGAGCTTAGGAAGTATAGAAAAGCCATAGGGTATTCCCTAGATGACAGTAGAGGGATCTCTCCTAGCTTGTGTACCCACAGAATTCACCTTGAAGAAGAGTGTATGTCCTCCATTGAACACCAAAGAAGGTTAAACCCAAACCTTAAGGAGGTGGTCAAGAAAGAAATTCTAAAACTACTAGAGGCAGGGATAATATATCTTATCTCTGACTCAAGGTGGGTTTCCCATGTCCATGTGATGCCTAAAAAGGGTGGTATGACAGTGGTAAAGAATGATAAGGATGAGGTCAAACCCACTAGGACTGTAACAAGGCATATAATGAGCATTGATTATAGGAAGTTGAATGCTGCATCAAGAAAAGGCCTTTTTCCACTTCCTTTCATTGATCCAATGCTTAAGAGACTTGCCAATCATCCATATTACTGTTTTCTAGATGGATACTCAGGGTTTTTCCAAATTCCAATAGACCCTAGAGACCAAGAGAAAACAACATTCACCTGCCCTTGTGGCACCTATGCTTACAGAAGAATGTTTTTTGGTCTGTGTAATGCGCCTGCCACCTTTCAAAGGTGTATGATGTCGATTTTCTCTGACCTGATAGAAGAGAAAGTTGAGGTGTTCATGGACGATTTTAGCGTCTATGGACACTCTTTCCCTTCTTGTTTATCTAATATGTCTCAGCTGCTAAGGAGATGTGAGGAGACAAACAAGCTTGATGCTGAACTAGGAGAAGTGCGATTTAATGGTGCAAGAAGGCATTGTATTGGGGCACAAGGTATCTGAAGCTGGGATAGAGGTTGACAAGGCCAAAGTGGATGTCATGGTTAACTTGGGAGCTCCAAATTCAGTGAAAGGAGTCAGAAGCTTTTTGGGACATGCTGGGTCCTACAGAAGGTTCATTAAGGACTTCTCAAAAGATAGCAAGACCGTTGACAAGGTTTTTATACAAAGATGTGGAGTTCCTCTTTGATCAAGAGTGCATCGAAGCTTTTGAGAAGATAAAAAAAGCTCTGATAAGTGCTCCCATTGTTCAAGCATCTGATTGGAGCTTGCTCTTTGAGATCATGACTGATGCATCAGACTTTGCAGTTGGTGCTGTGCTGGGACAAAAGAATGATAAGAAGCTTCATGTCATCTACTATGCAAGTAGGACCTTGGACACAGCTCATGAGAAATATGCCACCACTGAGAAGGAAATGTTGGCTATGGTCTATGCTTTTGACAAGTTTAGGTCCTATTTGGTGGGATCTAAAGTGGTGGTCTACACTGATCATGCAGCTTTGAGATATCTGATGACAGAGAATGATGCCAAACCAAGGCTGTTGAGATGGGTATTGCTGCTCTAGGAATTTGATATGGAAATCAAAGACAAGAAAGGCATTGAAAATGGAGTAGCTGATCACTTGTCTAAACTAAGAGTGGAAGCTGATGTCCCTCTTAATGATTCTCTCCCTGAAGAGCAGCTCATGGTGGTGAAGGCTTTGAATGAGCTGGAATAAATCAAGTCCATCAAAGAAGGGAGTTTGCCATGGTTTGCTGACATTGTGAATTATCTGTCTTGTGGAGTAGAGCCCCCAGAATTGAGCAACTACCAGAGAAAGAAGTTTCTCAAGGACATCAACAGGTTCTTTTGGGATGAGCCATACTTGTATGTGCTTATCAAGGATCACTTGTACAGAAGGTGTGTAGCTGAGGAATAGGTTCCAGGGATCGTCTTGGAGTGCCATTGATCTGCCTACGGAGGTCATCATGCAGCTTTCAAAACCGTGGCTAAGGCAGTTCAGTCAGATGTCTGGTGGCCAACCATGTTCAAAGATGCTCAAGTTGTTATTGTGAGGTGTGATGTCTGCCAAAGAGCTGGGAACATCTCCAAGAGGAATGAAATGCCTCAGAATCCATTCTTTGAGGTGGAGATCTTTGATTGTTGGGGTATAGATTTCATGGGACCCTTTGTCTCTTCTCATGGAAATCAATACATTCTGGTGGCAGTGGACTATGTCTCTAAATGGGTGAAGGCTATAGAAAGTCCAAAAAATGACTCCAAGGTGGTGGTAAAGCTGTTTAAGACCAACATTTTTACAAGGTTTGGAGGGCCTAGAGTTCTTATAAGTGATGGTGGAAGTCACTTTGTGAACAAGACCTTAGAGGGACCTCTTAAAAGGTATGGAGTCAAGCATAAGATAACCAGTCTTTATCATCCTCATACAAGTGGTCAGGTAGAGGTTTCAAACAGACAGATCAAGGCCTTTCTAGAGAGAACAGTGAACTCATCAAGGAAAGACTGGTCCAGGAAATTGGATGATGCATTATGGGCTTATAGAACAACTTTCAAGACTCCTATTAGAACTTGTCCTTTCATTCTCCTTTATGGAAAGAGATGCCATTTGCCTCTAGAACTTGAATACAAGGCACTATGGACTGTCAAGCTGTTGAACTTTGATATCAAGACAGCTCAAGAGAAAAGTCTTTTTAAGCTTGAGGAGATAAGGCTTGATGCATATGAGAGCTCAAGGATCTCCAAGGAGGGGACCAAGACTTTGCATGCTCAAAAGATTCTGAAGAGGGATTTCAAGAAAGGGGACCTTGTGTTGCTGTTTAACTCAAGACTCAAACTGATCCCTTGCAAGTTAAAGTCAAGGTGGTCTGGCCCCTTCAAGATCGTGGAAGTGAGAAGCTATGGGGCTGTTGTTCTTGAGGGAAAAGATGGAAATGGCTTTGCAGTGAATAGGTAAAGGCTGAAGCCCTATCTGGTCAATGCAATCAAGGAGGGAGCTACCTCAGTCCCTCTTGATGATCCCCCATCTCAGTAAAAGGTATGAAAAGTCAAACTTAGTGACTTAAAACAAAGTGCTATTGGGAGACATCCCAAGCTTATCCTTGTATATAAGTCTTTTTGATCTTTTCTTTTATGTTTTTAGAATGTTTTTGAGGCGTTTGTTGAGTGGTCTCAGGTTTTAAAAATAGTTCATGCTTAGTGGTGTGAAGAGATGGCTGCCAAAACATTTAAAGAGGAGGCGGCCTTGTGTTTAGAAGCAGTGTGCACATGACCTCGGCCAAACCCCTCAGCATCATCCATACCGAGGCCTCAAGATCGAGTGAAAGTGTCATTACCTCGTGATGATGCCCCATGGTGATATATACCGAGGTCTTCGTGTGTTTGTCCCATAGACTAAGTAAAACAAGACCCCTCAGTATGGCCATACCGAGGCCCAAGATCTGCATGAAAGTGGAAGACCTCGGTGTGGCCCCTCGGCCATGACCATACCGAGGCATGCTGGAAACAAAGAAAAGAGGCCAAACCTCGGCCTAATGCCTCGGTCACTCCTATGTCGAGGTGCTTTTGCGAAGAAAAGAGGCCAAGCCTCGGTTTCATGCCTCAGTCACTTATATACCGAGACCAGATGTGCGAACAAAAGGGAAAAGGCCTCGGTGTGATGCCTCGGGGTGTAGCATACCGAGGCTCATGGTTTTTAAATCCAGAAGATGACACGCGTCGGCCAAACCCCTTGCCATGTCCATACCAAGGCCTCCTTGCAGTTGACGCGGGAACAAAGAGTTTCAAAACGTGGGTAATGGGAACAGGTTAAAAGTCAATGTCTGGAGACTTTGATGGTGTTGACCAGTCAACATGGATCTAATGTACAACAGTCCAAAGCTCCACCCTTTGCAAAGACTCCAGTTTTCCGCCACCCGAGTTTGCTCTCGCTTTCCCTGCTTGCACTTAGAAACACCATAACTCTCTCATTTCTTATCCAAATTGGGTGATTCAAATTGTGATAAGCGATGGAGGATCGCATTTCATCAACAGAGTCTTCGAAAATCTTCTTAGAAAGAATGGAGTTACACATAAAGTTGCTTCTCCATATCATCCCCAAACCAGCGGTCAAGTAGAAATCTCAAATAGAAAAAATCAAGTCGATCTTGCAGAAAACAATTGCAGTTTATCGCAAGGATTGGTCTACCAAGCTTGACGATGCATTATGGGCATATCGAACAGCATTCAAGACACCATTAGGAACAACACCATTCAATCTAGTTTACGGAAAAGCATGTCACCTTACAGTAGAACTCGAGTATAAAGCGCAATGGGCTATCAAGGAGATGAATATGAACACGAAACACCTGGAGAAAGAAGACTACTTCAACTTCATGAGGTAGAAGAAATCCGCCACAATGCTTACGAAAAATCGAAAATCTACAAAGAGAGGACTAAAGCATAACATGATAAGAAGATTATTCATAGAAATTTTGCTCCTAATGATAAGGTTCTTCATTTCAATTCTCGTCTTAAGCTTTTTTCAGGAAAATTACATTCAAGATGGTTTGGACCCTTCACGATAAAGGAAGTCAAGCCATACGGAGCCATTGTCCTATA